TTGTAGTTCAAAATGTGGCAGCAACATCAGCATGTCTGTTTTTTCTCACAATTTCACAAAAGGTTCACTTTCTCCGGAGATATTTACAGCTCTGCACATATATGTTTTTTTCCTTGTTAAGTTGAGTACTTTGGGGAACTGAGCACTTTACAGCTTCCCCATTGAAGTGTTGACCTAGTTATTCCTCATCCGTAAAACCTCGGGAGTCAGATGTCAGGGAGAGAACATGAATGGTCACAGAAGCAGCTGAGAGCAACCAGTGACCTCTCTCTCTTTCTCATTCCTTGATCCAAAAAGCTGAGACTCTCTCTAAGCCCCTCCCTCCTACTTCCTGTGTCTCTCTATCTGTCCTCAGCCCTCCAAAACCTCTGTGGCTAATTTTGGTCAGCTCGGAGCTAGCTCCGCCCTCTGATTCAAAGCAAACTTTATTGTCAGTCTCGGGGGCGCCAGAATACGAGCAAAATATCTCACAATAGCACCTAGTGCCAGAATCACTGCTCTTGTGCTTTGGAGTTGCTATAACTAGATGAAGGGATAAGCCCGTCCTCTTCCTCTGTGTATAGTATTCCTTTCAGAATTCCCAGCCGTGGTGGCTTAGTTTAAATGCTTTAGTGTGTGTGTGTCTTATTTCCCCACAAGTTTTAAGCAATAACTGTGCTGAGTATAGCAATCTCTCGGGGACAGTAACTTTCAGGGTTTATATCATTCTGTGTTCTCCTGGGTGTAGGTTGCTCACAAAATGTCTGATGTTTATGCCTTTGCATTCAGGTTGGCATTTTTCCCTTGCAGCTTTTAGTGGCTCCTTTGCTGTGTTTCATTCGGGGTGTTCCCCTTTGTGTGCATGTATGTTGTGTATGCATGTGTTCATGTGTGTGCATATGCACTTGTGTGAGCATACCTGTGCAGGCCAGAGGACAGCTTCAGCTCTCATTCCTCAGGTCTCTCTCACTTCATTTTTGGAGACAGACCCTCACTGGCCTGGACCTCACCTTAGTGGTCAGGCTGGCTGGCCAGCAAGCCCCAGGTATCCCAGCATCCTCAGCTCCCCAGCACTGTGTTACAGATGCACGCTGCCACGCCCTTCTTTATACACGGGTTCAGAGAATCACACTCAGGCCCTCATGCTTGCAGGGTCACAGCTCACTGACTGACTGGGCGTCTCCCCAGCCCCTTCCATGTACTCTTGGTCCCCCGACTTAAGGAGGTTCTTTCTTCTCTGACTGTGTTTACAGTCTAACTGCTTCCTGTGTTAGGAGATCTATTTCTTCCTCTTAGGTTTGAGGGATTTTTAGCTCTAATCTCACTGAATAGATTGTCAAAGTCTTTAGAGGTTATCTCAGCTCCTTATGTGGTGGTTTGGTCTCTTGAACACATCCCAGGGTTCTTGGAAGTTTGGGTCATAGTCGTTAAAGGGTTTTCTCATATGTGTCTGTATGTACTGCCTCGACCTTGCCATCCTCCCTGAAATGTGTTCTTGTGTGATCTTGTTTACTGATGCTGTACTCGGCTGTATTTGCTATTTAATTGATTGATTTTTAATTTGCATAACTTATGTTTGGCTCTCTCTGTTTCCTCCATGCTGTGCATGTCACTGACCATTTCACACGCGTGGGTGACTGTCTCATCTGGGCCCTGAGATGATTTCTTTGCTTTATTGATCTGCTGGTTTGAATCCTCTACGTGAACATCGTTTCCTTTCAGAAGAAGGACACTGGAGTCCTTTTCTGGCATGTCAGCTAACTCATCTTATTTTTCGGGTATTGGGGTGTCTTGGTGGAGTGCTGTCTCCTAAGAGAGGCTGGCTTGTGCTTTTTTATTCCATCCTGTTTTATACATCTGTGGGTGTGCCCCACATCCCTCCTGTGTTACACACCTATGGGTGTGCCCCACATCCTCCTGTTTTACACACCTGTGGGTGTGCCCCACATCCCTCCTGTGTTACACACCTATGGGTGTGCCCCACACCCTCCTGTTTTACACACCTATGGGTGTGCCCCACACCCTCCTGTGTTACACACCTATGGGTGTGCCCCACATCCTCCTGTTTTACACACCTGTGGGTGTGCCCCACATCCTCCTGTTTTACACACCTGTGGGTGTGCCCCACACCCTCCCGTTTTACACACCTGTGGGTGTGCCCCACATCCTCCCGTTTTACACACCTGTGGGTGTGCCCCACATCCTCCTGTTTTACACACCTGTGGGTGTGCCCCACATCCTCCTGTTTTACACACCTGTGGGTGTGCCCCACACCCTCCCGTTTTACACACCTGTGGGTGTGCCCCACACCCTCCTGTTTTACACACCTGTGGGTGTGCCCCAATCCTCTGTTCTTACGGTTTTTCCCCTCCTTCCTCACTGCTTTGTTCGTTCATCTTACATAAACACTCGTGGTGAGTTGTCATTGGTCAGGTGGTGCTGTGAGCAGTGGGAGGGAGCTGACCGAGGGAACCGGTGCAGTGGCCTGCCTGTCCCCCTGTCAGCTGCACCAGAGGACACTTGAGCACCTCATTGTGTCCCAGGTAGGTCCTTATGATGCTGGTTGAGGAAATGTAGTTTATAGGTTTTGGGAGCTGAGTATCCACACTTAAGTAGTGAGGTGGAGGGGGGGATGGGAAGCGGACCGTAAAAATGAGAGGCAAGTATATGGTTAGAAGGATAAAAAAACAGTAGAAAACATTGTGTATATAAAAGCTTGTCCATGATTGTACATACCAACTACAACTAAAGTACAAAAGCATAAACACAATAAAAATGAAAAATTTAAAGCAGCCTTCCTGATGCTGCGTTCCTTTAGTACAGTCCCTCATGTGGTGGTGACCCCCAACCATAAAACTGTTTTCATTGCTGCTTCATAGCTGTGATTTTTCTACTGTTACGAATTGTAATGTAAAAATCTGTGTTTCCAGTGGTCTTAGGCGACCCCTGTGAAAGGGTCATTTGACCCTCCAGAGGGGTCATAACCCACAGGTGGAGAACCACCGCTTTAAAGGATTGCTTTTTTTTAGACAAAGTTTCTCTGTGTGACAGCCCTGGCTGTCCTGGAAGGATTACTATTTTTGAAATAAAAAGGCAGCAAGATGAACTAGAAAGTTCTAGCCCTTTGTGTGTTTCCCAGTTGGAGAAGTGTGGGCTTCCCCCCCCCCCCCCCCGCCCCCCCGTTTGTTTTTCTGATCAGACTCCACAGGTTGCAGCAAGGACAGCCGCTAGTCCCAGGAGTTCAGCCACTGTGTCCTCCGGAGGAGTTCTGTGCCAGACTGTTTTCTGCCAGCCTCCCCCAATCTGATTTCTTCGGGCCGAACAGTACAGTCCTGCCTCTGGGGTTTGGGGGCTCAGTTGGTGTGCAAAGCCCGTGTCTCAGGCTCCAAGAGTGTGCAGAACCCACCTACCCGTGTTTACTTTGTCCAGTCCATCAAGATACCGCATCAGGTCCTGCCACCAACTTCCTGTGGCCCTGACCTGAGGGCCCCCACATAGCTCATCCCGGCAGTGGCCGTGATAGCGGAGTGTGGAGGGTGTCAAGACTCTCGGTTTCAGACTCTTTACCAAACTGGATCTCCACAGTCTGTGCTGATCCTTTGGGCACTGCTCTTCTGTGGTGCAGATCCTTTGACCTTCCCAACAGGGGCAGGGATTGAGGGATGGTGAGCTTCCTTGCTTCTCTCTCCACCTCAGGCTCCCATAAGGCAATGTGCTCCACTTTTCCCCACAGCACACTCAGCTCAGTCTCTGGTTTTGGTTTCCAGTGGTGCAGACCATTCTTCCAGTTTTCTGTCCCCCCAGCCCTCAGGGTGATCCGTGCCCAGAGTCCTTGAACACACTTCCCTTGGTGTGACTGAGTGCCGCACAAGCACCTTGGTGTGACTGGGACACCAACTAACCTGTCTGTAGCTCTTTGTCTTCTCCATTGGTGGCTGTTTGTCATGAATTCTCTCCCATCCATTCTCATAATCTCACAGGCCTTATAATCTGTCATCTTCCCGCCGACCCACGCTACAATGTAAGGATTCCTACAATCTCACATACCCTTTCTCCTTCCACTGCTGGCCCGGGTCTCTTCCTTAACTTGCAGCAGCTTTGTTCCGGCACCGATGCACTTCTCTTTGTGTTCATGCTGGAAGAATAATCTGTAATTTCATCAGTTTTCTTTATACGAGTTGTAAAAGCTTAATTTCTGTCTGAAAATCTGCAGTGTGTGAATCACTTGTGGGTCTGCCTCTGTTGTCTGTTGTTTCTGTTGGCTTTGCGCCATTAGCTGTTAGTGGAGTGCTGGCTGTATTGAATGAGGGATTGTAAAAGCTCCAGCTGAAATGTTCTAGAGATGAGTTGATGTTCTTCTGGAAGGCAGGTGGCAACATGGGAAAGTTGCCTGCATCACCTGGGGGTTCTGAATTCCAAGTTTTCTCTCTCCTGAACCCTGCGAGGCATGAAATACCGGCTTAACTGTTTAGGCTGCTAGCAGCTGGTTTTGGATTTATTTCTCAGTCTTGCTCTGTACAGATGCAACTTAGGAAAGGCAAAAGCCTGGCTAGAAACATCCTGGGTGATGTAGGACCCACTTCCCCATTCATTTCCTCCAGCCCCTCTTATGTGGACTGCCTTGGTGTCTGCACTCCGTGCTAGCCTTTTTATACAGTGAACTGTGGGGCCGAGACCCCAGGCAGCCCATCTGTTTAGCCTGCAGGCCTCACGCCTAGGTTGACAAATGCCTTTAGAGGAAACCCTGGCAGTGATGGTCGCCCCTCTGTGTCTTTGCTTTCCCTGGGACCTCAGCCCTCCAGCCCTGACAGCCCCTGTCAGTCTCGCTGCTTTAGAACATCTGGGAGTTTGTCTTTGTTTTGGTTTCATTTCGTTCAGCATTCATATTTGTTCTCAGCAGGAGAGCTGGGTCTGGTACAAACTGCTTCTTCACAGCTGGAAGTGTAAGTCTGCGTCCAAAGAGTTTCTGAATCATGTTTGGAGTGTCTGGTGTTAACCACCGCATGGTTTCTGTTCTGCAGGATGCCGTGTCCGCCTTACTTGCAAGAACTTCAGCCGAGCTATTGGCCGTGGAACAAGAGCTGGCCCAAGAGGAGGAGGAGGAGGAAGAGGAGCTGAGGCCTGAAGAACAGCGGGGTCCAGGGGGAGATTGGTAAACAGCCACTGTCGTTCTTGGGTCGGGGGGGGGGGGGGGACTCCATTCTCAGTTTCTCAGAAGCTTCTGGGCCTTTGCAGGCTCATGTCTTAGTTTGGAACTATGGCAAACAGTGTGACATCGGGGGCGCTGGCTGTAGAGTCTCCTCCTGGTCTTTAGAGTGTTAGAGGAAGAAGTGGCGAGACTGTGGCAAAGTCAACGCGTGGGCTGTGCTGTTTGCTCTTGCTTCCGGTGATGCTGTTCATTGCTTTTCTGTGCTGTTGTTGTCTAAGCTATCTGTTTAAAAAGCTATGGTACCTTATTATAGAGCAGTGGTTCTCGAGCTGTGGGTCAGATCCCTTTGGGGGGCCAAACAACCCTCTCACAGGGGTCGCCTATCAGATATCCTGCTTATCGGATATTCATAATGATTTCCTAACAGTAGCAAAATTACAGGTATAAAGTACCAACAAGATAATTTTATGGTTGGGGGTCACCACAACATGAGGAACTGTATTAAAGGGTCGCAGCGTTAGGAAGGTTGGGAACCTGTCTTTTTTCCATTTCTTTCTCTTTTGACTAGGAGTATCATTTAGGCCATTCCTAGGCAAAGTTACTGTTTAGGAAAGAGCATCCAAGTAACCATTGCAGCATTGGTCCCTCCTCTAGTCCTTTTTCTCTCCTCCTCTGTATAAATAGCCCATCCTTTAAGGATGCCCATGTTGTATATGCCCATATGTCTCTGCATGTGAAGACCATCTTTGCAGGCTTTCACTCTATTCTCTAATAAATTTTAGTGAACGCTTCCCTTTTGATTGTCTTCCGTAGATAAACACATCTGGATTAATTTTTGTGAATAGTTGTACTGTTAGGTGTGGTTGGACTACTGTTATCAGGTATGGTCTGCACGTGTGTGGATGTGTGCATGCAGAGATGAAACCTGTGAGAAATTCAGAGTGACGAAGGTCACAGATGGTCCTGTCAAGGGCCTTTGGAAGGAAGGCTCCTGCAGTGAGATGTGAAAGGCTTGGAGACACCCGGAGAGGGATGTGAAGGTTCATCATAGTGTCTCAAGCACTGGGCTTTTCTCATGCTTGGAAAGCACAATGTACCTCACAATTCCAGGAATGTACTTAGTAGGTTAAAAGGGGAGTGGGGGGCGGGGGGGTGGGGGGGTGGGGGAGGATGACAACGACAACTTCCAGTTCCCTGTAGTCCTCACTGGTTCCCCTTCGTGTTCATTTCACAGCTAGACATTTAATAACTAGTCTGTGTCAACCGGCCAATATGTCACCAATTGCAATTAAGCCTTGACATTTAGAAGTCAGTGAAAGACTTCCTTTCTATTCTTAGGACATGAAACTCAGCAAAGCCTGCCGTGTTTCGAGCCTTCACAATACTCCTACCGTGTACACTCTGTATAGACTATGGTCGTATTCTTTTAAAATGTTTTCCGAAATTTTTATTTGTTTTTATTTTATGCATTTGGGTGTTTTGTCTGCATATACATGTGCACCGTGTGCATGCAGTGCCCTCAGATGCCAGAAGAGGGCGTCTGCCCCTCTGGATCTGGAGTTACAGAGGGTTGTGAGTCACTACCCAGGTGCTGGGAACCTAAACCTGGGTCCTCTGGAAGAGCAGCTAATGCTTTTAACTGCTGGGCCATCTCTTCAGCAATGTGGTGAGTCACATTCTTATCACCACCCAACTCCATCCGCAGCTTTTGATAATGAGCCTGTGAGACCGTGAGTCATCTGATAGCCCAGTAACAAACACTTTACACAGGTCTCTGCCTGATGATGAACAGTTAATAATGGGTAATCCTCATGTCTTAGATAAGAATAACGAACTGTTACATGGTTAATTCTGTAATCAACTGAATAGTACCAAGTTAGTGAATGTCATGGTTTTATATGCTGAAATTAAAATTTGTATGTGGTCCCTGAATATTTCTATTGAAAATCTGGGGACTTGGTCAAATTTCATCACTTTTAACTTAACATTAACATTTTGAGCCGGGCGGTGGTGGCGCACGCCTTTAATCCCAGCACTCGGGAGGCAGAGCCAGGCGGATCTCTGTGAGTTCGAGGCCAGCCTGGTCTCCAAAGCGAGTTCCAGGAAAGGCGCAAAGCTACACAGAGAAACCCTGTCTCGAGAAAAAAAAAAAAATAGCATTTTTGTACCATGCTGTGGTGATTTTGCTCTGGATTCCTGGAACATACAATGAGAATTTATTTTTCTTGATCTACTTAGTTAAGAACTTCAGCCGTCACAGTATGTCTTGAATCACATGTATGAATCTTTTATTTCTCCGGTAATAGATTAACACGCCCAGTCACACTGCATGGAGTACGCCTGCCGGACTGAAAATAGCTTTTGGTTTTTGTTTTGCTTTGTTTCTCCATAGCTTAACAATGCTAAGAGAGGCCTCTGATGAAACTGTGGCTGCTAAAGAGGCTGAGGGTCACGTGGCGGAGGGCAGCCGCTGCACAGGAAACCCGAGTTCATGTACACGTAGGCTTGATACGAGTGAAGGCGATCGTGCTGAAGACCCTGGCCAGCCACCAGCTGGAATTCCCACCCTGGTAAGTGTTCTGCTACCCTCTGCTAAGACAGAACCCTGGAGATGCATGTGCTCAAGGGGTGCTTGTCTTCTCTTTCTAAATCGGGATTTGGGCCCCAAAGGCTTCTATGGGAATATCACCAAGAGCATTGAAAACGCTTTACAGTTTTCACATGGGCTCAGAATATTAATTTTTCCTTTATAGTTGGCAGAAACAATGCTCACTACCTTATAGCTCTATAAATGGTATGTGAGTGCTTGTTAAAAGTTGTCTGGGGCTCAAGATGGAGCTGAGCTGGTCCAGTGCTTACAGCCCTGGGTTGGATCCTCAGCACAGCTGTAACCCTGGCGCTCAGGAGGTATAGGCGGAAGGATCATCAGCTTTGTAGTGAGTTCAGGGCCAACCTGAGATATGCAAGGCTCTGTTTCAAAAACAACAACAACAACAACAACAAGATAACAAGTATTTTCTGCCCTGGTGTGGGGTTCCTGTAACCTCAGCCCTCACGAGGCTGATGTTAAAAGATCACGGGAGCAGGCCAGCCTGGGCTCCACAGCAAACCTCTGTCTCAAACAAGTGTTCTTCTATTTAGAGAAATCAGGGAGCGGGGCGACTTAAAGGTATCAAGTTTCAAAATCTATTTCAGTGTTAAACATAAAGTAAGGATTTGAAGTTCATCCTGGCTGGCTGGGGTTCCAGCTGAAACCCGCTCTGAAAGACGACACTGACCTGGTTAGGCACAGGTGTAAGGAGTCCTTCTCTGTCCCTCCAGCCAAATAACGACAAATAAGACACAGAGACTTCTTACTAATTATCAAAGCTCGGCCTATAGCTTGGGCTTGTTCCTAACTAGCTCTTATAACTTAGATTAGCCCATATTTTTAATCTACATTCTACCACGTGGCTTTTACCTCTGTCCCATTCTGTGTGTCCAACTTGTTCTGCATCTGGCTGGCTTCTCCACCTTTCTTCTTCCCAGAGTCCTCTCTGTCTCTGGAAGTCCCACCTAAACTCTTCCTGCCTATCTATTGGCCATTTAGCTTCTTAATTACACCAATCACAGCAATACATTTTCACACAGTATACAGATATCCAACAACATTTCCCCCTTTTTGTCTAAATAAAAAGAAAAGGTTTTTAATTCTGACATAGTGAAACTATATATAATAAGAACAATTATCAGGTAAGAATTACATTCACAATGTCTAGTCCATTTGTATTTGGCAAATTTGGAGAAAATACTATCTATCTTATCTTGATGAATTTAAAGTTTTATACCTAAACCATTTTTTATCATAACTTGTATTACCATCCTAAAACTAGCTTTTTAGAACTCATTTTTCTTAGATAAGCAAAGCTTCTAAGACTCTTAGCCTTATATACTTTATACCTCTTTTGTGAGTTTATTTTCTGAATTTGGTAACAAGGAAAACTGTAACTATAACTATCTATTTTCAATTCCATCAGAGGCCTGAGAAGAATATAATATTACTTGAGTAAACAGGAAGTACAGAGCAAACAACTTCCAAAACTATAGAAATGATGGAAGCAGCTGGCTGCCTGGAGAGTCACCCAAGGTTCCTCTGTAATGTTAGGGCATCCATCTTTAGCCTACAGACCTAGAATATCTGATAGACTTTTCTGTGAAGCAGGAATTTTGAAAGACTGTCCTGTCTTGTCTTGGCAAAGTTTGGCAGTTGCTTTCTTTTGTGTCCTGCTTATCCAGTTTGGACAGCATTCTGTCAGCAGTTAAGACAAGGGCAGTCTTTTTGCCCAAATGGCTAGCCTTGCCACATTGAAAACAAACTCCATCTGGAGGTTCTTCGATGCCTATCATCCTTTTTTGAAGTAAATTGGTGCTGCCAGGAGCAGACATGTCTCACCGTTGTGAAAAGCCTTATGTTATTAAAGCATTTTAAATGCCATATTCTGTAGGTTTTTGAAGTGTTTGAAGACCATCTGTCTATCTAAAATATATTTCTATATGACCTTCGAAACATACCTAATGTGACTACAAGTTTGATTGTTATAGATGACTACTAACCTTAGTTTTCCTAAATGGTTTATAATAATAACTTTTAAGGAATAGAACTCTACATTACATTTTTAAATGAGCTGCATGGGTACAATACCTTAAACAAAAGTAGAAACATATATACAGTATAACAAAAAAACCTTAAATTGTATCAATATGTAAAAACCCATACCAATGTAAAATATTTGAGTCTAATGGTTGTTCAAAAGTAGATTTAATGATCCCATCATTTCTGTGCTATATCCCTTCCTTTTCCCTTCAGAAGGAGATCCCTGAATCTATTCTCCTTTGTTCAGCTTTTTTCCTGACCATGACCAGTAACACTATGTAACCAACCCCCCTAAACCGTGGCAAACATCTATAATCTATCAAATGACTAAAATCCACCTACCCCACCTCTTGAGAATGTGGGTGTTGTGTTCTCTAGACTGCTTCCTGTTATCTGGGGGCAATGGCATCTTTGGGGGACCCTGAGAAAATTGGGATAATGGTCAAGTCCTGGAAGAGCTAGCTGTATCATTCATTGTCCAGTCTCTGTGTGATGGTAGAGAAAGTACAGGGCTGATCTGAAGTCCTGACTGGAGTAGTCTGTGAGGCTGGACCACCTCAATGAGCAGCTTTGAAGTTGTTCTGAATGCAAAATTTTGAGGAAACTGCAACAGAGGCTTCTGAGGCTGGATCACCTGGGCTACTTGTTTTCATTGATGTCTGGTCCTTTTTTTCTGAAAACACAAACTTTTAAAGGTAACATATATATCTGCATTAAAACAAGTATGGAATGTGCTGTGTGCACAAATCAGTTAAAGATGATTTTTTTTTGTTTTATGTTTAAGCAGGTAAAAGGCATCTGTCAATTTTATAAATCCATTTGGAGTGTATAACTAAACCTCTATGCATGCCATATGAAAAGATGATATGTAATAATAAGTCATGAGGATTCTGTAGCCACCAAGATTTATCATGTCTCATCCAGTCTCAGAGCTGTTCCCATATTTGAGGGATCAGCATATACATCCTGATATATGCTGTCCTGTAGTCTTTCTTGGTTTCTTTCTTCATGTCTATAGTCAAGATTTTCAGGAGGTCTCCCCCAGTCAGATCTGATCTTCATTAAGTTGAGGAGAACTGTAACTTTTTGTTTCCTGTGGAAACAAAGGTGTAACATCTCTCCCAATGCAACGTATTTCCCGACTTCCATTTTGAAACCAAGACATTTCTGAAGAATGTAGCTGGGTTTTGTAGCTTGAGTTTTCCTGCCTGGCCCACAGTCAGGACAAATCTCTGTCACCTGCCAGTCCCACAGCCTCTCAGACCCGACCAAGTAAACACAGAGACTTATATTGGTTTCAAACTGTATGGCCGTGGCAGGCTTCTTGCTAACTGTTCTTACAGCTTAAATTAATCCATTTCTATTAATCTATACCTTGCCACATGGCTCGTGGCTTACCGGCATCTTCACATGCTGTTTGTCATCGTGGCGGCTGGCAGTGTCTCTCTGACTCAGCCTTCTACTTCCCAGAATTCTTTTCCTCCTTGTCCTGCCTATACTTCCTGCCTAGCCAATGGCCAATCAGTGTTTTATTTATTGACTAATTAGCAACACATTTGCCATACAGAACATCCCACAGCACTTGCCTTTTTTTTTTTTTTCAAAAAGGAAGGTTTTAACCTTAACAAAGTAAAATTACATATAATTTGGGAATTTGGGCGTAGCTTCTCTTACTACTTCCTGCTGGAGGGGGGCGCTGTGTCTTATGGGGATACAAAGAAAATTTTAGGATTATGGAATAGTCCATGAGGCTGTATTGTCTGAGCCAGTTGCCTTCAAACCATTCTGGATGTTGGATCATTTGGGCCATGGTGTCGTCGGAGACCTTTCAGGGGGTCTTGGCTGATCAAACCTGATGTATCTTAATCTGGAACAAATCCATAGCCTTTGGGTTTCTGTGGAAATAAAAGAGACTCTTTTCCAAAGCAACATATCCTTATATCCAAATTTTGAAGTCAAGGTATCTTTAAAGTATACATATTGGTTTAACTCAGCTTCCTTTACAATCAAATATCTCTCTGCAGTTAAGAATCCCAAAGACAACACAATGCAGATTCTCTGTGTAATATCCATTTTTACATGGCTTATATTTTATACCACCTTTACTGTCTCTTTGAAGACTTTATTTTTTAAAACTATGTATTTGTTTCTGTAACTCTATATATCTTTTTTGTCTCTTTCAAGCCTACGCATCTTTTACACACATTGTAAACTATTACATCTGAATCTGTCTTATTGTGAATCTATTGCCTTAAACTGCAGCAGCTGTGGCTGCTGGCTCCACCCACCTCAGCTTCCCAATGTGGCGTTTTCCACCAGCTCTGGGAGCTATCGTGGGTCTCTATGCTTTTATCCAAGCAGTGTATAGCCCAGAAACCTCTTTTTTTGTTTTGTACCTGCAAAGGCTAAATCCACCACGCAGCTTAATGTGCTACTTGCAGAGGACTCATTCCCGCCATACTGCAGGTTACTGCAGGTCGAGCACGTACGCTAGGAACCCACCAGTAGCTCAAACCGGCAGCTGCCGCTCATTTGAGAGAGACAATTAGGAACTGTTTTTAGCTCCGTTTTAGAAGATTTTTTCAGGTTTTAGGTGGAAACTCTTGCCACCACGTTGGACGCCATTTGTAGCTTGAGTTTTCCTGCCTGGCCCACAGTCAGGACAAATCTCTTTCACCTGCTAGTCCCACAGCCTCTCAGACCCGACCAAGTAAACACAGAGACTTATATTGGTTTCAAACTGTATGGCCGTGGCAGGCTTCTTGCTAACTGTTCTTACAGCTTAAATTAATCCATTTCTATTAATCTATACCTTGCCACATGGCTCGTGGCTTACCGGCATCTTCACATGCTGTTTGTCATCGTGGCGGCTGGCAGTGTCTCTCTGACTCAGCCTTCCACTTCCCAGCTTTATTCTCCTCTTTGCCCCGCCTACACTTCCTGCCTAGCCAATGGCCAATCAGTGTTTTATTTATTGACTAATCAGCAACACATTTGCCATACAGAACATCCCACAGCAGGGTTTAGTTCAGCAATCCTTTCCATAATCCAACATCTCTCAGCAGCTGCCATTTACTCATCAGCATTCAAAGATTCAAAGTTAGCAAATCACCATACAGGATCCAGATGCCTTGTTTATATTTCTCATCTTTATGTGACTTATTCTTTTTATATTACTTTACTTTTTCTTTAAATACTTTATGATTTTTAAACTTTTTTATGACTGTCTATAGCCATTTTCTTTTCTTTCTTTATTTTTTAAGCACCTAAGCCTACTTAAACATATTGTATCTGTTTAGAGGTTTTCTCCATCTGAACCTGACTTTTTGCACGTTGGCAGCCTCCTCTGACCGCATAAGCCAAATCTCAAACTGCTAGGCTCCAGCCGCCTGGCTCTGCTTGGCACATGGGATGCTGGTGGCTGGCGCTGCCCCCCTCGGTTCCGTGAGAGCCTGTCCTCAGGCCTGCGGGTTTTTACCTGCCCCAGCTCTAAGAACGTTGTGTCTGCCCGAGACACAGAGTTTGTACCCAATGTCAGCTGCTCAAGTGTTCAGCTGCACAGCAGGGCCTCTTAAAAGAGCCGAGCCTCCCCAAGAGACCCAGGAAGCCGCTTGCTCAGAACTTTTAATTTTTTTTTTGATCCATAATTATGAATAGGCAGTTTGACCCCTTGAGTAAGAAATACATCAAGTGCTGTCATTAGCAGGGTGTCCCCCATCAAGATTGCAGTGCCCGTGGGTCAGTGAAGGGCGTGGGGATAAATTACTCTGGAGATGGCTTCAGGGAACAGCGTCTGCTTTATCGCGCATGAACAACCACTTACATAGTGGAGCCTGTCGACTGTGATTGGTTAGCACGTTACCTCGGACTGGGTGGTGAGAGCTCACGCCACCAGGGTCCCTATGCAGAAGGAGATGTGGAAAGTGCAGACTTGTCCACCAGCCAGCTACTCAAGCGCAGTGTGCCGGGTAGGCTCACCACCAGGTTATGCCTGTGTTTTCTGCTACAATCAAGACATCCGGAATGGGGATACTTCCTGTCTAAGACTCAAGGATGAAGACACACTAGAAATAAAGAGAGATGACTGCTTGCTGATAGAGCTGGTATTTGGAGACACCTCTTCAGTCATGATTTTGTTGTATGTTCAAAGATCCAGTGAAACTTCATGGTCCTTCACAGCAGTTGTTATGTTCATCTAGTCTGAGTGCAAATTCCACTTATCAACAATTTTATGTCATTGTTTTTTTTTCCATCTATATTTTATTTATGTTGATGGGTGTATTGCCTGCATCTGTCTGGGCACCATGTGCCTGCACTACCCACAAAGGCCAGAAGAGGGCGCCAGATCGCCGGGAACCAGAGTAGTAGACAGTTGTGAGCTGCCATGTGGATGCTGGAAATTGAACCTGGGACCCTGCAAGGGCAGCCAGCACGCTTAACTGTGGAGCCATCTCTCCAGACACTATAGTGAATTTTTAATCATTTTTTATCATTATACCTTGTTCTGACAACACTACTCTTTAAAGACAATGCATTTCCAAGTAGGAGTCTTCACATAGAAAGCCTCCCTCCCCTCTCTCCTTATGAAACATGATGCTCTGTAGGGCAAGCCTTGCTCACAGGGCTAGAGGAGTCTCTGCTTAACTTTAGCTATTTGCTCACTCCCTAGAACAGTGGTTCTCAACCTATGGGTCATGACCCTGCAGGGGTCACATATCAGATAGTCTGCATATCACATACTTACAATTCCTAATGGTAGCAAAATTACAGGTATGAAGTAGTAATGAAATAATTTTATGGTTGGGGGTCACCACGACATGAGGAACTATATTAAAGAGTTGCAGCATTAGGACGCAGCATGAGAACCACTGCCCTAGAAGAAGGGCACACATAGGAACATGCACCTGCCAGCTGCTGACGAATCACCCACTCTCACCGTAGGTCGATAAGGAGACGAATACCGATGAAGCAGTGGATGGCAATATGGCAGTTCGCCCCAAAGACCGTAGCAGCCTGAGCTCTCGACAGCATCCCTTCGTGAGAAACAGCATGATAGTGCGCTCACAAACCTTCTCCCCAGGCGAGCGGAGCCAGTACATCTGCCGGGTAAGGAGAGCGGCGCAATGGCGGCCTCTTCCCCTTCTGTAGTGAGTGGCCCGTGCACAGGGGCTGCAGAGCTGACTGGAGACAAGAGGTGTAGAACGCCACACCCCGGGGGTCCTGATTTTCAGGGGCTTTGTTTTCCCGTGCACCCAACGTCCTGCTGGCTCTAGTGTAATTGACTTGGCAAAGAAGTAAAGTTTAAGGATTTAGATGTGAAGAATTGTTGAACTTCTGTGTTTAGAAACATAAAATGGCTTAAGAAATGTATTTTGAATATTTCGTATGCCGTTCTAAGCATGTTAATCTCGCCAAAGAGAAAATGTGAATTGGATTTTACAAAATTATGTTCTAAGACCTTGCGTCCCTGAATCAGACTCATAGTCCCGGGAAGAAAATTGTGAAATTCACATCAGTTTCCCCAAAGTCTACCTTAGGAATTATTTATAAACTATAGTAAATGGATTTAATATTACATACAACTAGATAGGTACTTTTAAAATTCTGAACTTATTCAGGCAATAGAATACTTACTGAGCACCTTCCTAGAAACAAAGGCTCCGCCCCCTCCTCTTTTGCACAACTTCTGTTCTTGTCAATGAGCCAGACCATAATAATAAGCATGCTGAAGAAGCTGTGAGTTGCTATTGGTGGACTCAGTGCCCTGGGAAACAGAAGAGCAGGCTAAGGGGGTTGGAGTGGACAGGAGGGCTCTGGGTGGCCTTTCTTGATAAGGTGACCCCAGCAGAGCCTGAGCCAGGGGAGGCGTGAGCATGCGCGTTGTGGACAGCATGGCCCTCAGCACTGTGCTTCAGAGAAAACAAACCACTGTTGGCTACAAGTCGAGAACTCGTTGTATCAGAAAATAGTTCTCTTTCCATACAGATTCGATCCTTGCTACCAGAAGCCAGCTCTTGAAGTTCTTTCAGAAACTTAAGTTAAGAATGGGGAAGAAATGATTTATGAAAGATTTTCTTAAAAGTATAGTTCACAGGCTGCAGGTGTGGCTCTGTGGTTGATCGGTTACCTTGCGTGTGAGGCCCTGGATTTGATCCCAGCACAGCAGTGAAGGGCAGAGGTGAGGGTGGTTCACGTGGCTCACACTACCTGCTTTGTTCCGTTGGTTATTTTGTGATTATTTCCTTTCCTGTCTGTCTTTGGTTACCAGTTAAACCGGAGCGACAGCGACAGTTCAACCTTGGCCAAAAAATCATTGTTTGTGAGGAACTCCACGGAGCGGCGCAGTTTGCGGGTTAAAAGGGTGCGTATTCCCTGAGCCGGACTTGAGGAACATAAATCCCAGAAGGGGCAAATGTCAGCGTTCCCAGCTCTCGGGCTGGTGACTGAAGGCGCCGGGCCTCTTGGAGCTGCGGCTGTGAGTCCCGTGCTGTGCAGGGAGGATGTGTTGGGCCCTGGTTTGGCCCTGTGCTGATGAAGGTGGGAAGCTGGTTTGCAACGTCTTTGGAGAAGGTGGTTGCTGGGTCCCCGGTGTTAGTGAGTTGAACCACCACCATCTTCAATGGGGGCTTCAACGTCTCCACCATGTCCAGCTCTTGAGTGATTGTGGGAGAATTTAAAACCAGGCACCTTCTCTGAGGGAGCAGATTTTCCACAAAGGAGTAGCACATGGGTGCTTTGTGCAGGGTTTGTAGAGAGAAGGGGGTGTCTTTTTTATTACAAAGTTTATAACTTGCATAAACAGTTATTTTTAGGCATTAGAAGTGAACATGGAGAGGCCACTTCTCACTTCTTTCTAAGTCACCTGCCTTCCAAAGCAGCTCTTGCTTTTAGGGGATGGTGGCTTTGGGGAATTTTAACTGCAAGTGTTCAGGACCTGAGTGGAGCTAGGTTACTCATAGCTTGGTTAAAAGAACTCCTCGAACTAGACATAGGTAAGTCCTGAAATGTTGCTTAAGTTGAGGGTTTTAGCTGGCTTTTAAGAAGGCAGATACGGCTCAGTTAACTGCGAGGGTGGCATTCTGACTTAGGAGTCGCAGCATGAAAACTATGGAGAGGTCTTAAGAGTACAGAGCACTGCAAAGATTTACCGGTGAGTCACGAGGTCGGAGAAGTCCCCTTGAAGCACACTGGCCCTCGAGCCGACTCTGCCAGCTCTTCACATGGTCTAAACCAGCGAGGTCTACCCATCTGTGCTGCCCAATTCTGTGATCACTGTTGAGCATCGATTGCCAACACACCACTGCACACTAGTCCTTATGGAGGCTTCACGCACTTTTGCTGAAGTGCCTGTGTGTGTGTGTGTGTGTGTGTGTGTGTGTGTGTGTGTGTAACGGGCGTGTACATACCACAGCATGTATGGAGAGTTGGTTCCTGTCTTCCGCCTCGCTGAGGCAAGGTGTCTTGTTTCGGCTGCTTCACTGTGCACTCTAGCCTACCTGTGAGCTTCTGAGTAATTCTCCCATCTGCGTCTCCCAGCTTCTTATGTGAATGAGACGCATGCTACCACATCTAGCTTGTTGGCTTGGGTCATCTGCCCTGTGTGGCTAGCATGGTCACAAATGAGCCGTCACCCTGGGGTGGGAAGAATTTCTGGCCCTGAAAAGCAAGTCATGTAGCCGAGGCACATGCACATCTAGGTATTTCTTTCTGTGTGGTGCATGTGTTGGAGAAGATGGGGATTGAATATAGGAACCTAGTAACAATGTTAGAGAAGCCTAAATATTTAGTGATGAGATATAAGTCGGACAAAAAGGAGAGGGACCAGAAGTCAAAGCTGTTTCAGGCTGGGCCGGGTGGTAGAGGCCTGTTATGTGACACTATTCCTGGGCAGACATCAGTGAGTACCCGTCTACTGTCCCAACAGACCCAGTATGAATACCACCAAAGGCCAGCTCTTTAATCTTGGAGGCACCTGCTCCAGAACCAGGCCCTCGTTTACTCCCAGGTACTTGAGAGGCCAGCTAGGAAGATCACAGTTCAAAGACGGTATTCAAAGCGACTCTGGGGCCAACCTGGAACTTAGTAAAACGACCTTGAAATAGAAAGAGGGCTGGAGGTATAGCTCGCTGGCAGGATACCTAGACTTACAAGGTCCCGAGTTCAATTCCCAGTACGATTAAAGGAAAAATAAGTATTCCAGTTTGGGTGAGGTCCCAGTAGAAGAGGACAGATAGGTCCCCTCCGTTGTTATGACCACCCTGGTTACTCCAGGTCTGCAAAGCAGAGTAGTTGTGTATCACATAGTACCCGTTCTCGGGAACTTCCCAGCTTCCATCCCCGCTCCTTGTAGCCTTCCTTCTGTTATTAGTCAGCCTAATGGAAGTTCTTTTCCTCAAGTCAGTCTGACTCGCCCCTGGGCCCTCGGTCTCTCACTGGCCTTTTGAGGTAGTGAAGACACAAATTCCCAGTTCACTGCTGCATGCAGCCTCATACCATCCTTCGCTCCAAGTCCTCAAGGCCAGAGACTACATTCTATTCCTGATACTCTGCCCATCACACACCTGCCAGCAGGCATTTGCTCCTACCTACCCCAGAAAGTAGACTGTGCCCAGTGGGAAGTCAAGGAAGGAGCTGGACTGTAACCATCTGGAGTCAATCCGCCCTCCATTCTGGCCAACACTCACAGTGTGGTCGCAAAGGACTGAGCTGCAGGGGGTTCTGTGTCCTGAACGGGAGGGTATATAAGTATTTTGTAATATGTTTTTCGTTTAGCATGGGCTGTGCTATCCACTTAAAATGGTTTTAATTACGTTTGTTTGTTTGTTTGTTTGTTTGTTGGAAGGGGGTGCCATTTCCTGTGTGGGGATCAGGGGACAACTTTGAGAAGCTAGTTCCTCCTGTCCATGTGGGTCCCAGGGATAGAACCCAGGTCATCAGGCTGAGCCCTCTCCCCAGCCTAGTGCCCACTTTTTAGATCTCCGTAGTTTAAAATGACCCAGCTTTATTTCATGCTCACCTACTAAGCGGCAGGCTGGCCTGATACCAGTTCCTGCTGTCCTCACTGGGACCCAGGCTGAGGGAGCTTCCATCTCGGGCTCACTGCTGTGTCCCCAGTAGGAGGCAGAAATGTACAGATCTCACAGCGCCTTTGACAAGCGTCTGCCTAGAGGCGATACCTCTCCCACCACCCTGCCATTGGCCAAAGCGAGCCACGTGGCCAGTTATGCCTGTCATGTGAGGAGGAGCAGAGATAGTAACGGGGGATCTGCTGTGTCCCCTCCACAGGCAGTCTGCCAACCCACCCTCAGGAGGACTGCTCAGGAGTGCCCGGTGCGCACATCTCTAGACCTGGAGCTGGACCTGCAGGCCTCACTGACCCGCCAGAGTCGCCTTAACGATGAGCTGCAGGCCCTGAGGGACTTACGGCAGAAGCTGGAGGAGCTGAAGGCTCAGGGAGAGACTGACCTTCCCCTGGGCGTGCTGGAGGATGAGAGATTCCAGAAGCTTCTGAAGCAAGCAGAGAAGCAGGTATGGAGCTCCGGGTCACACACCAAGAGGGGCTGGTACAGAAACATCCTTGGGGTGGCGGGCACCTTGGAGCAGGGTCCCAGCATAGGCATCTTCCCATCCTTTTCCTAGGACTTGGGGCATGGCCACCCCACCATTATAGTGTCCTTCCTACCCAAATATTGCTGTGGTAGTGGTTGTCCACTCAACCCCAGGCAGCTCTGTAGTCTCCTGACAAGAAGGGAGCATGGCGGCATTTCAGTGTTTCAGCAAATGGTACACAGTGTTTACATTTCAGTTAGCCACCGTAACTATAAATACATTGCTAACTTTCATGTTTCTAAATTTTCACTTTCCTTCCTTGAGAAAAGATTACATTTCACTTTAATAGCATACATTTGCCTTTCACTCTACAAACGTGAATAGAAAATAAGATAAGATGGCTGAATAAACAAATACTTTGTTTTGTTTGGGGGGCATCTCAGTATGTAGCCCTGGCTGGCCTGGAACTTGCTGTGTAGACCAGGCTGTTTCAGAGATTCACCTGCCTCTGTCTGCAGAGTGCTGGGATTAAACCACACACAGGTTGTATTGTCGTTATGGCAGGGTTTTGTTTTGTGGAGTTTTGTTTGTTTTTTTCAGACAGCTTCTCACTGAATAGTTCAGGCTAATCTTTAAAAACACCTTTAATCTCAGCACTCAGGAGGCAGAAGCAGGTAGATCTCTGAGTTTGAGACCAGCCTTGTTTACATAGTAAGTTCTGGGACAGCTGGGGATATGTGGAGAGACCCTGTCTCAAAAATACAAACAAAACAAAAAAAGAGAACATGTAATCCCCCTGCCTCAGCCTCCCAAGTCCTGGCATTACAGGCATGCACCATTCCCTCCTAGCAAAAATCAAATAGTTTAGAGGGATTTTTTTTCTAATGTGCCACCTAAATATTACTGAATCTGCCTCAGTATAATAATACTGATTTATTCTCAGGGTTAGGATTTATATTTTGGCTTAGTGCGATTTGTATTCATTTCTACACATGATCTTTAAATAGAGCTTTTCATACAGCTGAAATGTTACAAGTGCCTAAACATTATTCCTTTAATGTGGCCCTTTGGGCGGAAATCTGAAGCTCAGCAGATAATTCCTTGAAGTATCTAATAGGAAAGGATCCTCCATAACAAGTTTGTCTTTTGAACAGAAAGGCTTGGTCCCACCTGGTGGCAGTGTTGAGAAGCGACTGGGCCACAAGGACACTCAACTCCTCAGCAGAGGACCTGATAGCTAAAGGGGCTGTTGGAAGGTGGAGATCTGGCTGGGAGAGGGGAGTCACCAGGGTGCCTGCCTTCCTTCCAGATAAGCCTGTGCTCCAGCGCCCACCCCCACAGTCATTTCCTGCCTCTGTGCCTGGGTTCAGTTGTGACAGAGCCACTGGCTGGATCTGCAGCCCTGAGCCAGAGGAAACCTTTCCTCCCTGTAAGGCATTCTCTCGGGTGTTTTACTACAGCAACAGAAAGTGGTTAAGATGTTGAGGAGGAAAGAACAGCCCAGACAAATTTGAGATTTAAAAGAGTCAATTTAGACAATTATCTAGGAAAATACAAGAACTAAGAAAGTTGAAAAATCTTCTGTCTCTCAAAGAAATGACAGCAGAATTTTAAAGTCTATCCATAAAGAAAACATTAAGTCAATATGTAATTTCCACCCAATTTTTAAAGAACAAATTGTTTCAATTTCATGCACTCAGAGAGAACATGCCACCCTTAAATCTATGTGGCTAAATCTGTGATTCTAAAAGAGAAGATACTATTCAAAGGAGACTCACAGGCTGATTTCACTATGACTGCAAATGCAGACGTCCTCCCTACAATATCAGTAAACAGAATCTAATGACATATTTTAAAAACATTTTTACCGTATTGAACTGTGGGAGGATATTTAAATATTAAAAATTGTATTAGTACACTCACTTAGGAGACTTCCGAGGGAAACTATCAGTCAACTTGATGGGTGTAAGCAAATACTGATAAAATACAGTGGACATTAATATTTAAAACGCTTAGTGAGCAAGAAGACGGGACATTAACCTTATGAAAACTAACAGAAACCAAATGTAATCCTAAGCAAAACAAACACAAAGTCATCTCTTTAGAATCAGCTGAGTGAAGTAGTGCACGTCTTTAAACCCAGCACTTCAGAGGCAGAGGCAGGTGGATCTCTGACCTGGAGGCCAGCCTGGTCTACATGGTAGCTCCAGGCCAGCCAGGGCTACAGAGTGAGACCCTGTCTCAACAAACAAACAAAACAACAGCAACCAACGTAAAATGAGACACAGACTGTCTTAGTCAGTGTTCAGTTGCTGTGAAGAGACACCATGACCAACTTGACTCACGAAAGAAAACACTTAGTGGGGCCTTGCTTACAGTTTCAGAGACTCACGCCATTATCATCATTGACGGGGAGCATGGTGGCACACAGGCATGGTGCTGGAGCAGTAGCTGAGGGCTACATCCTGATCCATAGGCAGAGAGACTGGGCCTGCCTGGTGGGCCTGGTGTGGACTTCTGACCCTCAAAGCCCACCCCCGTGACACACTTCCCCCAACAAGGCCACACCTCCTGGTCCTTTCAAACAGTTCCACTCCCTGGTGACCAGCCATCCAAATACGTGGGCCTTTGGGGGGCATTCCCATTCAGACCACCGCAGATACTCAGCCCTCCTCGGCATTGTGCCTGCCGTGCTAGTCGGCGCCATTAAGAAAGCAAAATGGCTGGAAAGAAGAAGAAAAGCTCTTGTTATTGGCAGGTCAGAAAAGCAGGTTTTACAGATAGTAAAGAGCGTTTACAAGATGAGTGAAAAGGAGTGATGCCGTCTGTTCTGCGTCTCTCTACGTGAGTTACTTGGCACAGCTCTGGCCGCCATAACAGAACGTCCTTAAGGAGGAAGGTCATCGTTTCAGAGGGTTCAGGTAGCGGTTGTGTGGTCCCTGCACTTAAGCAGAGCATCCTGGTTAGGAGAACATGGGGATGGGGGACTCTTCTCATGGCAGACAGGAGGCAGAGAGCTGGGGTCAGGGCCAAGGTCTGATCTTAAGGCATCAGCTACAGCCCCAGTGAGTTCCTGCCCTCTGTCCTCTGACTGACATGTCTCTTGCACCACACAGCAGTGCTCCACACACAAGTATGCCTGTTCCTGGGCTCTATTTAATACAGCTGTTCTCAACCTGTGGGGTGCAACCTCTTTGGGGATCAAACACTTTAGGGCCCACTCCCTCCATGGAGGCCACACCACCCTAAATTTCTAGTCCTTTCCGAAACAGCACCACCACCTAGCGGCAAAGCCGCCAACGTGAGCGCTGGGGGACGTTTTGTATTTGACCCATAAGATGTTTTATGTACCAGCTAGAAGCAACTAGAAAACTTCAGTATTGACGTTTATACCATGAACAAAGAATAGTATCAAGTATTAAATTTGATATGCAGTGTAGGGAAAATTACAAACTTTTGTCAGTAAGGACAAAAGCCCTACCGAAATATACCACATTCATATAAGACAGGGTTCAAGATGCCTTCCTGTAAAGGGCTAGTTACTAAATATGTTCAACTTTGGGGCCATCATGTGGCCTAAGCCACCATTATAAGGCTTTGCTATTTTACCACAAAAGTAACCACAAAGAATTCTAAGTAAGGGTGCTTCCTGCTCTTCCAGAGGATCTAAGTTCAGTTCCCAGCATCCATGTAGGCAGCTCACAGCTGCCCGTAAGTAAGCTGGGGTGGGGCACATCTGACCCCTATGACCTCCGTGGACCCTGTCACTCACATGCATGTGCCCACCAACAGACACATACATACACATAATTAAAAATTAAAATAAAAGCATTAAAAGAGTTATAAATACATGACTATGGCAGTATTCTAACACAACTTCATTTAAAAAAATAAATGACAGACCATAGTTTATCAATCACTAATATAGAAAAATTACTATACAGGGATTGTCTTCCAAAAATGTACCATACAGCCTCTTTCCAGGCAGAATACCTACTTGCTTTTTCATGGATATTAAAGAAAATTCTGAAGAAGGAAAACAAGGGAGGAAATTCTCTCTACAGAAGTCAGGATTTATTAAAATAGTCAAGAGTAGTTTAACAGTGTGAGATTCAGAAGAGGCAAGAGACTGACTGGTCATGGTATTAAATCAGTGGTTCTCAGCCTTCCTAATGCTGCGACCCTTTAATACAGTTCTTCATGTTGTGGTGACCCCCAACCATAAAATCATTTCATTGCTACTTCATAATTATAATTTTGCTACTGTTATGAATCATAATATAAATATCTGTGTTTTCTGATGGTTTTAGGGAGACCTCTATGAAAGGGTTGTTTGATCCCCAAAGAGGTTGCACCCCACAGGTTGAGAACAGCTGTATTAAATAGAGCCCAGGAACAGGCATACTTGTGTGTGGAGCACTGCTGTGTGGTGCAAGAGACATGTCAGTCAGAGGACAGAGGGCAGGAACTCACTGGGGCTGTAGCTGATGGCAGAACACTTTCAGGAGGTTCATGAAGGCTCGAGTTTGATTCCAGCACCAGGAAAGAGATTATCCACACAGAAGATGGCATTGCAGCTCTGCTTGGCATGTGTGGTGGTTTGAATAAAAATGGTCCCTATAGGCTCATGTATTTGAATGCTTAGTCATCAGGGAGTGGCACTATTTTAGAAGGATTAGAAAGATTAGGAGGTGTGACCTTGTAGGAGGAAGTATGTCACTGGGGATGGGCTTTGAGGTTTCAAAAACCCATGCCAGGTCCAGTTTCTCTCTGCCTATGGATCAGGATGTAGCTCCTAGCTACTTCTCCAGCACCATGCCTGTGTGCCACCATGCTCCCTGCCATGATCATAGACTAAAGCCTCTGACACTGTAAGCATGCCCCCAGTGAAATGCGTTCTTTTATAAGAGTTGTGTTGGTCGTGGTGTCTCTTCATAGCAATAGAACAGTGACTAAGACAGCCTGTAAAACTCAACTCT